GCAGTTTTGTATTGTTTGTAGTGTGATCAACGTTTGCGTAAGTAGTAGACGTGTTAGGGAAGTAGCACATAACATTTTAATTGTATTTTGCTAAAATGAACGAAATAACTCGAAAAAAGATTCGTTCATTTTGCTGAACGAGACTCAAAGGTCCGAGTCGGTAAAATGATCCGAACTTCCCATCACTATCACGCTCAACAGTCACACCAGAAGAGAGAGAGAGAGAGACAGGGCCACATCACAGTGGAGTCAGCTGTCTTAACCGTGGCTTGTGTACTGCAAACACACACCAGTTTCATCACCGTGTCTGTCACGTGACTTTGTTCCCCTTTCGGGCTCTGTCTTTACATTTTATTTTGAAAGATGAAGCTCGTGATTATGGTAAGGGGCGTTACATTTCCGACGAGTGCTTGCGGTGTTCGGCCAATCACAATGCACTGGGTCAGCCGGCCAATCAGAGCAGACTGCGCTTGTCGGAAGGAGGGACTTTGTAGAAAACTAAGCGTTTGAGAGAGGCGGGGCATAGAGGACCTACAATAATGTACAGTATTTGAAAAATTATGTGTTTTTTGAACATTAAAGCATGTCAACATATTCTGTTACACCAAATACACAAAATAATGATCTTTAAAAAAAGCATCATATGACCCCTTTAAGATAATTTGTATGACAGCAAAAAATAAAGTAACGCATACTGTAAGACATGTGCAGTTTTCTGGATGATTTTCATAGCCCTTACACCATTGCAGAAAGGAAAAAGAAATGGAAAAAAAACACGGTACTTCCATTCATAATTTACAAATTTTATTTAACATTTCAAAATATGCTTACATTTATGGAATTCAGTACTGAAACATTTAAGCCTGTTAGTGACATTTACTACACTTGCTATGATATGATATTTGTTTTCTTTTTTGGCTGGCTTATCCCTGTAAGGGAAATGTAAAAAAAAAAAGAAAAGAAAAGAAAATAGTTTAACAATACTTGTACCTCAGAAAAACAATTTTATCAGCTCAGAAAAAAATACAATAAAATAAAAGTGCAATTTTGAAAAGGTAAAGCATTCACTTTTTCCATTGGCTTTATAAAAGTCCAAACAAATAAGATAATGTTTTTATGGAAATGTCTCCACCTGATCACAATGAAACATTTTATTTCTCAGAAAGGTTAGCAGTGCTGTGACAACGTACACATTGGTTGAGCTTGTCTAAATGACATTCAATAAAAATCAGAAAAGCAAGGTGATCAGCAAAAAGTATTCATAACTCAAATTAAGTGTCATGAATGATATGCTGCTTTAGTGTTTGTCGATGATGGCAAGAGCATTAAGGCATTCAAGCTTTGTACACATATGTCTCCACCAAAAGCAGCCAAGTAAGTGGGACAAAAAACGCAAAGACTATAATATTCTCCACTCTTAATAAATGCAGAATTAAAATGTTTCTTGGCTTTCACTACATACATTTTCATATACGCTTCACAAAAAATACTTAACTTTGCTACAGTGTTCACACACAAGTCATTTGATGCACTAAAATTTTATCTTGCTTACACTGCGAAACCACACTTTCCACTGAATGTTTTAATCTGGAAATGCATTTGGTACAAATTACTGTACTAGAGAAGTGTTTATCTAGCCAGTATAGCTGTGTCTGTTCATGTATTGACAAAGGCGGTGCAGTTCTGGTAAACAAAACATAATATTTTAATTGCCCTCATTCTCCCTCTAGAAGAAAACAAACTTGCTAAAGGTCTCACTGACAGACCAAAAAAAAAAATTATACTAAGGAGTGCAGGATCTGTACAGTGAAACACTGGAATACATCTGCCATTTATAAAAATATCAAGTGTTAACCTGCATGTCTGACTCTATTCTGCCATAGTTTTCCAAATGGCATCAAAACTGTGCAAAATGTATAAGTAATGTAGGACCATAAGATATGGTAAACTGTTCAGATGAAACTTGATGCTAGATAATCAACAAGATGCAATGAATAAAATCACATGGACAAGTGTAAAACTGCTAAAAATAGCCATAAAGAAAATAAATGGCAACATAGGATTCTGTGTGAACAGAGTAGACTAACATTTCAATAAGCAGCAAGTGTAGATGTGTAGAAGTGTTAACATTACAGATAAGTAAATCCTGATGAATGGAACTGAATTGCTTCGTCCTGCTGCTCAAGATAAAACGTGAGAAACTGAGAGACAACATTTTGAAAGTGAACAGAAGTGCTCTAGAGACAGGCAGGGGTGTGATTCTTCGGGTGTCTTTAAAACTCCACTTTGCATGCTGGGAAGGTCTCGTCCTGCATGGCTACGGTGCTGTTGCTCCCAAGTACCGTGATCGCTAGATCTCTCTGCCGTTCGTGGGTCTCCTGGTACCAGCGGTGCATAGCCAGCGAATCAAACGTGGGGATCAAAGTCACCTGTAGGTGAACAGAAAAGCTATTAAACAACTATTAATCAGTGAACTGGTCAAGTAACTCTCTGTCGTTTGTGTGAATTTCAACCTCAATAGAGATCTGACGTGTTGAGTGTGAGTAAACGTTGAAGTATTCCTTTAAAATTGGATAAACAATACTATGGATTATTCAGAAGGTTCTACATAGGGCATGTACACTTGTTATGTTCTACTGAGCTTGGGAAAGGTGATATAAATAAATAAAACATCTACTTACCTGAACATCTGGCCAGGATGCTTTGCCCTCTAAAAGAGAGTCGAGAATAGATCTCATGACTGTCTCCTTGTGCGGCTCATCTCCACTAATTATATAGCAGGATGAGCGGAGACGCCGGAAAAACTCCACATCGACAGTGGAAGCTGCTGAGCCAGAGGGCAAATATGCCAAGTCCAAACAGATGGGTACTGAACTTGAATTTGCAGCGACAGAACCTGCAAAGGAAAGCAATAACACTATGCACATTTGGACTTCAAAGCAGATTTACTGATCTCCCTCCATTTATCCATTCCAATATAAATGGAAAGCTTTGGGCCTTTCTGTTTTTTTTTAACACTTCATAAAATGTATTTCCGCTATTCACTGGAGCTGGTTGGTCTGATTCAAGTTTTAGAATTCTTATTAAAGATGTTCAATGAACACCAGTGAACTAACAAATGGACAATATATTCTCAGAGTTCAGGTCACTGGTTTGCATTGACCAAATTGATTGTCTTGAAGGCAGTTGATGTCTTACCTAAATTGTAACAACTGATGGTTGTAGCATTAGCCCTTTTAAGGGCATAAATTTAAGCCTTGTTCAGACTGTCAGTCCAAATCCAATTTTTGTGCATATCCGATAGGAATCCGATCATATTTTGAAAGGCAAAAACATCACATGAAATAGGCCTACAATTTAAAAAAAATCTGTTTCAAGCTACATTCATATGTGGTTTGAAATCCTACTCAAATCACATTTCTGGAAGTCGGTTTCAGTCTGACCGCTCACTGAAATTTGCATAGCTTTTTGCTTATCTCACTTTCTCATGCAACGTAAAACGTAAACACATCAGATAATAAGCAGAATCTCTTTGCAGAAACAAGGTTGTGTTGTTTTGAAGTGCAAGTCGAGAGAAAAATTACAAATACCGCTGGTCTACAAAATGTGCATTCCAGCTTCCTACGTTTCTCCTGCTGCCTCAAGACGTAATAATCCTGCAAAAACTACAACATGTTTTCATGTTGCAATACAACATCTATACTGCAAACCCCGTTGCTGTTGTTTTTTAGCGTAGGCATACCAATGCACCGTCATTTACGTAGAAACCAATGCAGATATTCAGTAAAAAGCAACAGAGTCACAAGACACACAAATCGCATCTGAACAGTTGCGATACATAATGAGGACAGTCAGACATTTAGATCAGAATTCAAGCAGATACACAAATAATTGGATATGGACTGACAGTGTAAACATAGCTTTGGAGATGCAACCTATTAGAAAATTTAAAGGTTACAGTTAACATGTTAAAATCCCGTCAGAGATATTGTGCCTTTAAATTCATTCCCTTTAGTTTATCATCTCTAAAAATAAGTCTCACTAACTGACTAGGCGAATATCCTAACAGATCCCCAAGATATGTACAAGTCATATTTCTAGAAGAAGCAATGAGCACTTACTGGATGAAGACTTTGAAGGCACTGGTCTAGATCCGCTGATAGCATTGCGGGATGCAGGTCTGGTGTCCAGACTGGACGTTGGCCGAATAGTTCCACTGGCAGACACCGGAGCACCAGTCTTTGTCTTCCCACTCTGCATTACGATGTTTGCAGATGCAGTCTTTGTGGACACAGGTGCTGTTTTTTTGGTCTTTGATGTTACATTCTTGGAGGATCTACCCTGACCATCAGCCTCTGGGTCAGCCATGCAGGCACCGGGCTGGGGTGGCAGTGGTGGTAAGTCCTTCATGGGGGCAGGTGGAGGGTCTTCAGTGACATGCTGTGAATTGTGGTGTACCGAATGGCTGCTAGGATGGTCATGAGGGTGGTTGGGTGGAAAGATGTCACTAGGGTCCTCATCAGAGTCCAAGTCCTCAGTAATGGAGGGACACTCTTCGGTGGCTGGTGGCACATCAGAATCAGAAACCGAGATGAGAGAGACGCTGACAGAGGGCGTCGTCTCCTGACCTTCCAGAGACTGATGATCACTACTACTGCACTGGTAGGGCAGTCTACCGGGCTCCAGAGAGAGGTTAGGACTTGGGGCAGCAACCTCCGAGGAGAGTCCCTGTTGGTTTTCTGGAGATTTGTGATGCTTAAACTCACAAGGTGAAACCAGACATAGATCAACATCATGTGGAAGGATGTCAATCTGTGGTCCAAAGAGGTGATTCTCAGATTCGTCATATGTGTGGTAACTATTATGAGATGTTTTTAAAGGTAAAGACATATCTGTTTTGGGGTCACGGTCTGCTAAATGTCCATTAGTGTATGCCAAGCTGCCCATCTCTTCCTGTGAATGACAAACAGGCACTTGTTCAAAGGAAACCGATAAGGAATCATCTACTTCAGTGGAGTGTGGAGAGCCAACCTCTGCAGGAAAGGAAGTGATGCTGGGAGAGCCATCGGGTAGAGTATCTTTAAAAGAAGTTGAGGAGAGAAAGCTTGATTGTCTATCTTGCGATGATATGGAGCTGTTTTCTATATTGCTTCTTGAACAACCTGCCATTGAGTTCTTGCAGACTTGCTGACTGTCGTCAAAACCAAGACCAGAGTTCCTGAGGCCTACCTTGCAATCTTCCCCAGAGACCTGAGAAGAATTGTCAGGAGATTGTGGGTAATGCCCTGAACTGTTCTTCCCAGAGTCCGTGGGGGAAACTAACTCAAGGGTTTTTTCATCTGAGCTTGTACAGACGTCGTCTTTGAGGCATCCATCAAGCTCTGTTGGCGTGATATCAAAATTAACACTTTTCTCACTCTTTGAAGTCTTTGAAAGTGGGGAGGGAAGTCCAATAGCACTGTTCGAGCCAGGGGCCCCATCCATACTGCGAAACTTCTCTGGACTTTCATCAGTACCTGTTGTAGAGCCATTCACCTGCTTGTCATTGTTCCCAGAGGCACATTCAGTTCTTGAGATCAAAGGGTTGCCTTCAACATCCTGCAATGGCCCATATTCATTTGCAATACCCAACTTTTCCAACTGAGCAGTAATGTCCTCAGGTGTAGATGTCTTTGACTGCTCTGCACTTGAGGGTTTCAGATTGTCAGGCTCCTTTTTGTCTGGCTTTGGCTTCCCTTTGGTTAAATAATCCTTTTTAGGGACCGTCAAGTCTCTCTTTAGTGAGCCATTCTTGCCCATTGGCTTTCTAGACTCTGCATTACCTGGCAAATTTCCAGCTGCTTTCTTAACATCCTTCACCAGAGTTTTGGTAGTTTTTTTGTCTTCTGGTTTGACCTCTTTCTTAATCTCTTTTTTCAACTCGGGTTTAATATCTTTCTTGGGCTTTGCACCAATATCTTTTTTCAAGGGTTCTTTCTTTTTCTCTACGTTCTCATCTTTCTTTGCCATACTTGCCACTGGCCTTTCCTCTTTCTTCCTAACTTCCTTTTTCTCATCTTTAATAGGTTCTTTCTTAGACACTTGCTTTTCAGGCTTAGAAGTTCTTTAAACATGACAGCAAAACAGACAGTTTGAGTTTGAAGATTTCATGATCATATTTCAAATGTTCATCTTCTCTTTCTAATGCTTAAAATGCATTTCAAATATGCAAATGATGCTTGTTTGCGAAGTTCTGAGCCATGTATTTGATTAAATATGCACATAGCACTTCTTCACTCACCTCTGAACAAACCAAATCATGAGATGGGTTCACTATCACCTGGGTCTCAAGCACATCCCCTTTGTGCTGCAGGGTCTTCTGGCCTGTGGATAGAGGCAAAGAGTGTGGTCTTTTAAAAAGTTTGTGTATGACCATAAACGGTGGGAAATTATTTTATATTTTAGTATGTAAAAGTTGCATGCTACAACACAGTTACAAACATGACAGCAAAACAGACAGTTTGAGTTTGAAGATTTCATGATCATATTTCAAATGTTCATCTTCTCTTTCTAATGCTTAAAATGCATTTCAAATATGCAAATGATATTTTTTACTTCAAACTATAGGCTAACATACCAGTCAAAAGTTTTTTATGTTTTTTAAAGAATTATCTTCTGCTCACCAAGCCTGCATTTATTTGATCCAAAATGCACCAAAAGCAGAAACATTTTGAAATATTTTTACTATTTACAATTTATTCATGTGATCAAAGCTAAATTTTCAGCATCATTAGGCCTACTCCAGTCTTCAGTGTCACATGATCCTTCAGCAATCATTTTAATATGCTGATTATAAATATTTAAAACTAAACAATATTGGAAATTATTAGAAAAAATCTACTCCGCTGTTTTCAACATCATAATAATAAATGTTTTTTGAGCAGCAAATAAGAATATTAGAATGATTTCTGAAGGATCATGTGACTGGAGTAATGATGCTAAAGCTCTGCTTTGAAATCACAGGAATAAATTATATTTTCAAATAGAAAACAATTATTTTAAATAGTAAAAATATTTCAAAATGTTACTGTTTTTGCTGTATTTTGGATCAAATAAATGTAGGCTTGGTGAGCAGAAGAGAATTCTTTAAAAAACATTAAAAATCTTACGGTTCAAAAACTTTTGACTGGTATGTTAGCCTATAGTTTGAAGTAAAAAATATTAATATTAATAAGGAGAGTCTGAGATTTATTTGACGGTGATTTCACATTTCTTATTTGTATGAAGGCTAAATACCAATAAAAGGTTTACATTTATTTATTTGCGCCATTTTTTTCCTAAAATATGATATAGTTTTATAGGAGTAGGTTTCATAGAGTTGGCAAATTAATTTTTCATAAGTTTGTAGGTACAGACATCTGTTGTGGCTGTTCTTGGCCGTTTTTATGAGGCTTTTTTAATAGTGTTCATATCGATATCGGAATTATATCGTATTGACCGAAATTAAGAAATATATCGTGATATACATTTTGGCCATATCGTCCAGCCCTACGAGAACCCCAGTCATTAGGTCTTCTAACATATTATTAATTTTCCATGAAAAGACAAGATTTCAGGTGGTAAAATGTCACCTAAAAAAGTCAAAGAAACCACTAAGAAATGCATGACTATATATTTTTAAATGTACACTCATATGTAGTAAAGGAAATGTGTTATTACTTTTCATATGATGGCTACACCACATATTTTTTGACATTAAAATGACATTAACTCAATTGAATCCTCTTGAAAATGGTATATAAACGTTTATCAAAATCCTATGAAACCAACATGAATAGCCTACATTTCTAAGAACTTGGCACACACGTTTTAAACTATTTTAAAAAGATTTGTCTTTAATAAATTGTTCTGTTCCTAAATGCTTTTTTAAAATTGTATTTTTTATTTATTTTTTTTAATTCATTTTAAAATTTCGTAGCCACACTAGGAAAACTTCCAACAAAATTTAGTCACACCAGCTGATAATTTTTTTAATATTGGTCACGCTTTAGTTTAGGGACAACTTCTCACTATTAACTGTGATTTTTGCATCAATAAACTTCTAATGGGCTGCTATTTAATTTTTAGTAAGGTAGTTGTATAGGTATTGGATAGGTTTAGGGATGTATAATATGGTCATGCAGTATATGTGTTTTATAAGTCCTAATAAACAGCCAATATGTTAATAATAGGCATGCTAATAAGCAACTAGTTAATAGTGAGAATTGGTCCCTATACTAAAGTGTTGCCATTATAAATGCTTAAATTAAATTAGTTAACACTGATTGAAAGCCTAAATAATAAAACATTTTCAATATTAAAACGAATTCCTTCTATTCTTAAAACACATTTCTTCTAGGCTTATACAAAGTTTGAATTTCAGAAACTTGCCAACAAATCCAAAATTCAGCTAGAAATCAATGCCATTAAAACAGAATCTGCGTCGCAGCGTTCTTGCAGCACTCACCATAATAAAACTCCAGTGAAGCTTTCCTTAAGCGCCTTCACCATGCCTCAGATCTTACCAAACAGTAATTAAGTGTGTGGCGGCCCTTCCCCTGCCACGCATTACAAACAACTGCAGCACAGACCATCACATCTGCAGCTGAACACAGCTCTTCAGAACAGACACATGAGGGCCGTAGCTGAAATATAACAGCATGTGGAAACAGAGCGCTACTTATGTTGTGTACGGGACGCTGTCAGACGTATTGGAGGCTCTTGTACAAACACACACCCAGCTGGTTCTGTTCTCTGTCATTTGTGTAAATAGGGGTGAGGGGTTTAATCTGATCTATCTGCTGCTCAGGACATTCTGCTGGGACCAGCTGCTCTGACAAACACATCACAGCTGAAACTATACCTTGATAGCAGTTAAACTAGTACTATGAGTTACTAACAAAAAGGAGCTTCCTACATGTGGACATTAACATGTTTTTTAGAATTCTTCTAAAATTCCACAGAAACAGATCTCAATCAGTGTGACAGCATTAAACTTAAAAAATATAAACGAATAAAACTAAAAACTGAATCGACACATTAAGAAACAGCTATTTTTCTACAAAGAAAAAATTTAGTAAATATAAACTCAATATACAAAAAAGATAAAGAAATCCCACATACAGATACACTTTTTTTTGTTTGTGACATTTTTTAATGGACTGCCTGAACAAACCAATTTGCGGAAAGAGTGAGTGAGTGAGCACGCGAGAGAGAGAGAGAGAGAGAGAGAGAGAGAGAGAGAGAATGAAAATGAAAGAAAGAAAGAGTTTTATTTTTCATAGCTTCCATAGCCATTTTTCAGCAAGTCAAAAAAAGGTGTCAAATCTAATGAATTCATAACATTAAATGAATTTAACCAAAGATACATGGTTAATTTAGGCTATTATTAAAATGTTATTAGTTTTTGTGCATATTTGACAAGATTGATAAGCATCTCATTTCAAATGAACCATTGACATGCTCGCAAGCTGAACTCTCGGAGAGAGTGGAAGCCCACTTTTGATTCTTTTTAATTTTATTTCAAAAACCAGTGAAATTCCACATTCTACCATTAATTCCATTTTTATTTCTGCTTGGAAATCATAAGGCCTGAATGTAGAGTTATCAAACCAACTGGAATTTAAAATTTCCTTAAACCCTTTCAAACTGGCAGTCTTTCCTACCCAGATACCATAAGTATGTCTCCAAGATTTCATTTAAAGGCTGCTTCACGTGTGCTGGAATAAAGATGGATCTTTTCTCTAGATTAAGGTGGATCCAGAAACAGGATTTACTATCTACTGCCTTGGGCGAAAAAGCTCGCTACTTCCAAAATGTACACAAACTCCATCGTCCTCAAACAGAAGACAGCATGAACTCATCATGAGGGATGAGAAGACTCACTGATGTGGTCCTACACAGAGTTTTATCATTTAAAAATGTTTTATTATACCATACAGACAGCACTGTGGACATAAACCCATTTCCAGGAACAGGAAGGAGAAAGCGCTTCTGGCAGAGATCAGAGCGATCTGCCAGTGACATTCCTGAACAGCTGCTCAAAGATTAGTCAGGATTAGTCAGCATGTGTTGCTGGAAATGACTGGGTCAGTATACCTGTCACAATCAGCGGGAACTAAGCCAACATGAACACACCGAGTGACAGATGCTGCCAGTGTGTACAGACAGGAAGACTGAAGGACAGTGGCCAGTGACGGGGTAAAGACTGGACACAGGTTGTGATGGGTTTTGTCATTGTTTTAATTCCATTTAATTATTTTTCCCCAAAACTCCATTCCATTCCATTTTTCTGGATTATGTTTTAATGGTTTAATTTTAAAATTTTAGTAAAACTTTTAGTAAACCAAAAAATCATGTCTAATCAACTATCAGTTTAATAATTCATTTTTACAATGACAGGGCCTAAATTTTTTTTATTTATTTCAAATGAACATTTCAGTGGTAATCAAATGAAGGAATAACACATTAACAATTTAATTACTATTTTAAAATGTAACCAACTGAAAAAATAACTATTTAAAGACTATAAACATGGCTTTATAGGGGTGTAGGCCTTTTATTTTTGTTTGTTTGTTTTAATTTTTCTGGATTAATAATTTAAAATAAATAAATAATATAGACATTCATTCATTCATTTAGGGACTACTTTTTTTTTTTTCATTTAAGATTTAAAGGGGTCATATGATGCGATATCAATTTTTCCTTTCTCTTTGGAGTGTTACAAGCTCTTGGTGCATAAAGAAGATCTGTAAAGTTGCAAAGACTAAAGTCTCAAATCCAAAGAGATATTCTTTATAAAAGTTAAGAGTCAGCCACACCTACCTAAAACGGCTCGTTCTAACACGCCCCCACATATCTACATCACGATGTGGGAAGACTTGCAAAACGCCACCCAAATGTTCACTCAAAGAAAGAATGTCGTGAAGGTGCTGTGTGTTTCGCTGTGAAAGCGAAACTACTTTGTTTGGTCTTCCAAAAGAGGACGATATCCGCTTCGTCATGCCTGGAGCTGATCCGTGCTGGTTGCGGAGGAAAAACAACAACTTCGTGCTGTGGATCGCCGGATCGGCTTTCACCGTGGACGAAGCGGAGTCCAGCCCGGGGTCGTCACATGTGGTTGCCGCAAGCCCTCTGGCCGCTCCTTCGTCGAATCCGCCGGCCTGAAAGCGAAACTACTTTGTTGGCCTTCCAAAAGAGGACACAACTAGAAATCGGTGGTTAAATTGTATTTACAACACTGTTCCAGAACAGTTCAACTCAAATATTCAGATGTGTGCAGCACATTTTATGGAGGACTGTTTCCTGATCCTGGGAGAGTAGACTACAATGCCGGCAGTCCTGAC